ATCCAGCCTCCTCCCCGGGCACAGTGGATCCGAGGTATGCTCTGCCACTTATTCTTGCTGCCCATTATGAGCACAGTACCATGCCTTCTCTACCCTACCCCTTCTCCACCTTAGGAACGTTGAATTCAAGGTTGGTATTCATTATTCTGACCCCAGGCTCTGTCCAGACTGTTTTCAGAATGAATCCTTGGCTGCTATATCCTTCTGTTCTTCTTGTCTTTGCCTCTCTCCAGTGCTGTTTGGAGAAATTACACGACTCTTGAACCACATTATGGCTGTAACCACACATGCCCTGGACATTGGAGCCATGACCCCTTTCTTCTGGATGTTTGAAGAAAGGGAGAAGGTATGAGGGAGGCAAGGATAGGAATAGGGGAGGAAGAGTGAAAGTAGAGAGGGCGTGAAGGAAACGAGATTAAAAGGAAAAAGAGAACATGGAGAGACTATTTAAAAGAAGAAGGTATATTTACTTGAGTTTTATTCTTAGGAACTCCATATCATGAGGGGTTAGTCAAACATAAAAAGACAGAAGATGGGCTGGGGTTGTGGCTCAGTGGTAGAGTGCTCACCGCACGTGAGGCCCTGGGTTCAATCCTCAGCACCACATTAAAAAATGGATTAAATAAAATGAAGGTATTGTGTCCAACTACAACTAAAAAATAAATAAAAAGGGCAGAAGATGGGGTAGTGGGGGCTGGGAATGGTTTTGGTAGAGCATTTGCCTGGCATGTGTGAGGCCTTAAGTTTCATCCCAGCATTAAAAAAAAAAAAAAAAAAGGTGGTATAGTGTGTTGGACTTAGAGGTCACTGATTCCCAATGTGTCCTATCAAGATGTTTGAATTCTATGAGCGAGTATCTGGAGCCCGAATGCATGCTGCTTACATCCGCCCAGGAGGAGTGCACCAGGTAAGTGAGTGGGCTTCCCTGCCTCCCAAATCTCTAGTATAGGCCTCTTCCCTCTGTGGCCGCTGGAGGGCAGTGCTGGCTGATGGAAACTAACCCTGTAGCCATGAGGGAGAGTTGCTGAGCTGACTGTCCTTAATGGAGACTGTACTATTTTCATTATTACCTCCATTTGGCTTCTAGGACCTACCCCTTGGGCTTATGGATGATATTTATGAGTTTTCTAAGAACTTCTCTCTTCGGATTGATGAGGTAGAGGAGGTAAGATAGAAGTCAATGGGGAAAAAATCCCCCCTAAAAGAACATGTGGAATTTTAGTTTCCAATTGTAAAGAAATATAGACAAATTTAAATATTGTTATAAAGAGCATTAATGCATCAGTTTTCTTGATTAATAGATGCTGACCAACAATAGGATCTGGCGAAATCGAACTATTGACATTGGGGTTGTGACAGCAGAAGACGCGCTGAACTATGGCTTTAGGTAGGAGAATACTACTTCTCTCCTTAGGGGTTGGGATAGGAGTAGGGAGTTCCAGCACAGTACCTTGGCTTGGAAGAATATTTGGCACCCTCTTTGCCATTTTCTGAGTTTGTATCTCATGCCCAGAATGTCAGGAAGGGAAGGAGGAGACTAAGGAAGAATGTGCCTCCTTTCTTGGTTTGTGGAAAGTGGCCCTTATGCTGTCTATTCTACAGTGGAGTGATGCTTCGGGGCTCAGGCATCCAGTGGGACCTGCGGAAGACTCAGCCCTATGATGTTTATGATCAGGTTGAGTTTGATGTTCCGATTGGTTCTCGAGGAGACTGCTATGATAGGTAAGGACCCAGTCCTTCCTTTCTCAGCTGCTTGTCCAGCTTGTTCCCCTGCTTGTCTCTTTACTACTTTCTTTTTTACCCTACTTCCAAGTCCCTATAGGAGCTCCTGTGTCAAATTAGGTTGCTTGAGCTGGGGGTGTAATTCAGCGAGAGAGCACTTGCTCAACATATACAAGGTTCTGGGTTCTATCCCAGTACCAAAAACCAAAACCAAAACAAAATCCCCAAACTACATTGCACATACCTGGTATCTTATCTTACCCTTATGCTATCCCTGTCTTAGAGAGAACTAGTTTGGGCTGCATTTTATGGCTGAGAAATCTAAGGCATAAAATTTAGGGATTAGCCTGGGATTATTGTGTTAGTAGTGGTTAAGACTAGAATCTGCCTGATCCTGTGCTCTTTCCACTAGATTCTAAGCTTTAAATTCCACTCCTCTTCACTGACCCTGAGTAAGATTAGAGTAAGATTTGCTACTATTGTTTTTCTGTTTTGTTTTGTTTGCTTGTTTTTCCATTTGATTCTCTCATTTTTTTTTCTTCTTTTTTGTTTCTGAGCTTTGAATCCAAGGACATTTTACCACTGAGCTATGTCCCAGCTCTCTTTGTTTTTTTATTTTGAGACAGGGTCTCCCTAAGTTGCTTAGGGCCTCAGTAAGTTACAGAGGCTGGCCTCAAATTTACAAGGCTCCAACCTCTCAAGTTGCTGAGATTATAGGCATTTGCCCCTGTGCTTGTCTCCTCCATTCTTTAGTCCCAGAAAGTATTTGAGAGGATAAACAGGGAAATACTACAGGCCATGGTCTGAGAAAATAAAGAGGATTTGGAGAAAGGCTGTAGTAAAATCAAAATACTGCAGGATCTCTATGGGTAACCACTGTAAGCAGAAATGCTGTATTAGGAGAAAAGAGTGAGGACCATTTATTAACTCTCTTGAGGTCAATCAGAAGTTATCTTTCCAGCCCCATATGTGCTCCTCAGCCTTGTTCTGAGTCTGTTTTACTGACTTCAGGTACCTGTGTCGGGTGGAAGAGATGCGCCAGTCCCTTCGCATCATCTTACAGTGTCTAAACAAGATGCCTTCTGGGGAGATCAAGGTTGATGATGCTAAAGTGTCTCCACCTAAGCGAGCAGAGATGAAGGTTGGCTGTAGGGAGAGGATGAGGAGGGTATTGGGAAGGGGTTGGTGGCCAGGGAGGAGTAGCCTTGGATCCTATTTTTGCTTTTTCAAAGAATTTTCTGTTTTTTGTTTTTTTGTCTTTTTGTTTGTTTGGTACTGGGGGAGGGGTTGAACCCAGGAGTGCTCTACCACTGAGCTACTCTCCAGTTCTTTTCATTTTTTATTTTAAAACAAAGGTCTCAGTAAGTTTCTGGGCTGGGGATGTGGCTCAAGCAGTAGCTCGCTCGCCTGGCATGCCTGCGGCCCGGGTTCGATCCTCAGCACCACATACAAACAAAGATGTTGTGTCCGCTGAAAACTAAAAAATAAATGTTAGAATTCTCTCTCTCTCTCAAAAATTAAAAAAAAAAAAAAAAAAAAGGTCTCAGTAAGTTTCTGAGGCTGACCTTGTTCTTGTGATTCTCTTGCCTCAGCCTCCTGAGTAGTAGGTGTGCACCACCAGGCCTGGCACATTGTAAAGATTCTGAGCGTCTTGTGGCACTCTTTTATTCTGTGTTCTCTCTGCTTCCGTGTTGGTTTTTAGACTTGAAAAGGACACATTATTTTTTTGTGCTGGAGGAAGGCTCAGGAGAAAGAATTTGGGTCTGGTTTACTAATGCTCTGTTTTCCCTCCCTTTAGACTTCCATGGAGTCATTGATTCATCACTTCAAGTTGTATACTGAGGGCTACCAAGTTCCTCCAGGAGCCACATATACTGCTATTGAGGCTCCTAAGGTGAGGAGAAGAGGGAAGGGGAAAGGCCAAATGTGGGGTGAGTGGCTATAGACAGATATATAACAGAATGCTCTCATCAGCAAGAGGATGTGAGGATGAACAGAGAGGTTTTGTTGGCAGGGAAGAATGTTCTTCCTATTAACAGTGGCACCCAACCTTCTTCCTTGCACAGGGCGAGTTTGGGGTATACCTGGTGTCTGATGGCAGTAGCCGCCCTTATCGGTGCAAGATCAAAGCTCCTGGTTTTGCCCACTTGGTAAGAACCAATCCCAGTGATTCGAATGCTAATAAATTAATCCAGAAATTTATTGACCTTGGTTGAGATTTTATGAAATCTCCTTCCATCTCCTCCTACCCTGCAAATCTTTGCTCACACTGTTGCTCTCTCTGTCTCTCCAGGCTGGTTTGGACAAGATGTCTAAGGGACACATGTTGGCAGATGTTGTTGCCATTATAGGTATGAGGCATCCTATTGTGTACTGGAGGTACAAGGGGTGTCAGGCTGTGGTTGGGAAACCAAACACTCCCTGTTCGGCATAGACTGACATGGACTTGAGGCCTCCGTCTCTTGGACATAGTAATGAGCTTTGGCTCTTTGGTAACACGACTTCTCTCTATCCTCTGACCTAGGTACCCAAGATATTGTGTTTGGAGAAGTAGATCGGTGAGCAGGGGAACAGCATTGACCTGCCCTGTCTATCAGATTCCTCTGTGGAGCCTGTTCCTCATTGAAAATGGGTCTGTGTGTGTGTGCGTGCGTGTGTATGTACGTGTGTGTACACATACACATATATCTGTACAGACTTTCTGTGCATGTACTAAAAAGGAAAAATTATAATAAATTAGCTGCCTTGCAGCCCCTATGCCCAATCTTCTGATATGTCTTTTTGGTATCTTATTGTCTTTCACTTTGTTTTTCTGTTAAATTTAGGTCTCAGCAATTTTTCCTGCTCATCTCCACCCCTCTGCTGACTCTTGCCCTTTCCACTTCTCTATTCCTCATTTCCTCTTTTTCCCTCAGTTCCCTCTGCCTTAACCTCAATGTCCACACAAAATGGTAAGCTCCTTAATCAAGACTGGGTATAAAGTTTCAGGTGGTAAGGGTTAAGAGTATAAAGGGAATCTTGAGGGGCAGTTTATCAAGTCAGTTTATCAAACGTGTGTCTATGAACAGGGGCGGAGTGAAAGGTGGCAGTGTAGATAGCCTTTCCCAAGCTTGAGAGTCCCCTCGTTCCGTGGGCTGAGGTTGGTCATCGAAGGGCTGAATCTTAGAGTCCAGATCCTCTAGCTCCCCTAGTTAGCCCTTCCGGGAGCCGCCCAGTCTCTAGTGCAGGAAGGGGAAGGGGCCAAAATGTGGGGGAAGGCGTGGCAGGAAGGGGGGAACTCTGTGGTCAGGGAACTGTTCGCAGAGCACAGCTGCGCAGTGCTGTCAGTGTCTGATCCCAGCTCTCGGCTCCTCAGCCCCCTGCCCAAGATGATTCCAGCAGTGATCTTGCTCTTACTCCTTTTGGTTGAACAAGCAGGTGAGAGTGTGGTGAGCGTCACTGCGCTGGGCCTCAGTGTGTTAATCAAGAGCATATATGGGAGGGCTCTAGTCAGGGACAGAATGAGGGAGGCCAGTGGTAGGCATGTGGGCACAGGGCTGAGATACAGAGACCCTGAGTCTGGTCCTATCCAGGTCCTATCCAAGGCACTAGTCATGGTTTCTTTGATTTTAGTCCCTTTCCAACCTTATTCCAGACTGACTTCAGGATGGCTTTGAAACTGTCAGTTTGGCAGGAAAAGCAGGTATTTGTTTAGTATGAAGAGCTGGTCTTGTATGAGAGGGCTCCATTTTCCCTGATCAGCATTATTTTTGTGGTATCCTTGGTTTTGTCTAGGGGGAGTTGGTCTGTAGTTAATTATAAATATACAAAACTCCCTTTTAGAGAGCAGAGGCCTGTCTTTGGACTTAGGAGCAAGACAAGGGGTATTCAAGATAAGTAGGCATGATAGCTGTTTCAGCGGATCATCACTACAGCACGAGCTGATAGGAAGGTGGGCCATATGAAATGCCTGTTTCTAGAGACCTGGGCATCAGCGGAGAAACAGAGGCACAAATAACAAGGTTCTAGCTCTAAGACTCTAGTCAATTGAAGAACTCTCACTTTTTGCTTACTTTAGGTTGTCTATGCTATGAGGGTGTCTCTCTTCTGAACAGAGGTTGTGTCAGTTGGGGAGGAAGGAGTTGGTTAACTTTAAGGAAACTGGAGAAATTGAAAGAGAAGGCCCTGAGGAGTCCCACCAACCCAGTTGAGGTAGAGAAAAAGGATTAAGTGAGCCACTTATCTGCTGTCATGGGATGGAGAGGGAGGCCAGAGCTCCAGGGCATAGGAAAAGCTTTGGAGGCAGAAAATACTAGATTTCAGTTCCAGTCTCTTGCTTAACTGTGGCCCTGAATGAGTTACTTAGCTTTTCCGAAAGCCTGGGTTTCGTCATCCATAAAACGGCAGTGATGTTTCCTTCACAGGGTAGTTTTGAGATTTATGTAATATTGTGCATGTGTTACAGAATAAAAAGTATTTTACTGATGTCAGTACTTGGCCCATATTAGTCAGATGCATCCCATCAGTTCTGATACAGGCTGGGAACAGTCTTGGAAGCCCAGATCCTATGTGATTTTTTTTTTTTTTTTTTTTAATCATACAAAACTTCCCCTCTGAGAGGCTCACAGTGAGTAACAGGGCAGAGTAGCAGGAGGAAGAATTCATATTTTGCATTTAATTTGGGATCATTCCCTTGAGCCTGTAGTCATTTCCCCAGCTCCATGTGCAGAGCCAGTGGCAGGCATAGGAAAGTAGATACTTTGTTTTTGGCATATTTAAGCGTCTTGTGGGACAGAAAGCAATGAGGCTGAGGCTGGGAGATGACCAATAATAGAGTAATTGCCTTCCCTCCCTTCCCCAGCTCACATCCTTCCTGTCCAGCTCTCAGCCACAGGTCACAGGACTTAGCGGAGACACTCTTGTGGTTTCTTAAGCTGAAATTTGCCACTGCCTCTCTATCACCCTCCCCGGCTGGGCTGAGGTTTTGGTCTCAGCCCAGTGAATTTAGACCTGTCCTTGAGAATAGATGAAGCACTCAATGGAACCCAAAGAACCACAGTGCTAAAGAGGGTTGGGGTTAAGGGGAAAGTCTTCAACTCTTAAACCATGTAAGTCCTACTGCAATAGAACCCTTTTTATTCTATCCCTACTCTCTGGTAAGGGAGAATAGAGAAAAGTAAGAAAAATAGGAGTTCAGAAAGGACCATAGAGTTTCTTTCCTAAAAGGGATTCCCTCTAAGTCTTTCCCTTCTCTCCTCTGAGCACAAGATCCCACCACCGTGTCCCTGACCCCCTGGTACCCTCTATCCCCTCAGAGGCCCTGGGAGAGCCTCAGCTCTGCTATATCCTGGACGCCATCTTGTTCTTATATGGTATTGTCCTCACCCTGCTCTATTGTCGACTCAAGGTAAGGCAAAGTGGGGTGAGGGCTAGAAGGAGAAGTGGGAGGGTGGCAGCAGTGTGGAATGGAGGAAGGGGAACCCAAGGGGTTCTCCCACTTGGAGGGAAGGGGATGGGCCTCTAATTTCCTCTTCACGGATTACCTTTCCTCCACTCCAGATCCAGGTTCGAAAGGCAGCTATAGCCAACTATGAGGTATGGACCTTCCCACATGTGGGTGTTGATAATTTTTCAGACTCTGCCCTTCTAGAGTTAGGGTCTGAGTCCTCTGGGAGAGCATGCATCTCTTGTACTGATCTGCATACACCTTAGCACCTTACCTTATTTACCCTGCCAGCTGGCCAAGCCACAAGTAAAATGTCTGGCAGGTAACAGGGAAGAATCAAGCACAGGGTGATAATGAATGCATGAGAGTTGTGTGTTATTTGTGTTTGTATCCATGTTGGCAAATGTGTATTCATGTCCCTATCATGTGAATGACCTCCAGTGTTAGGCAGCTAACTCTGACCGTGACCCAGATACTCCCTGGGTGGGAAAGCAGATGCTGAAGAGCCCTCAAAGAGATATGGGTCTGTAATGCCTTGCCCCTTTCCTCTCTGCAGAAATCAGATGGTGTTTACACGGTGAGTGAGCCTAATTGTGCCCCCTCAGAATCAGCAAAAGAGGGTGGGGTTTGGGGTGACCTTGGGGCAAGGTCTGTGGGGTGGGTGGGGCTTCTTGGGTGAGATCAAACCCCTGACCATTCTTTGACTCCCACCTTCAGGGCCTGAGCACCCGGAACCAGGAGACATATGAGACTCTGAAGTATGAGAAACCACCCCAATAGCTTTAGATATCCTTGGTCACATCTTTCTGTGGCTTTCAGTTCACCTCCCAGCCCTTATGGTCAGCATTGTATATGCCTCCACACTCTTAATGCCAACTGACCTTATCCCTATAATGATGCCAGGCCTCATGTTAATGTACACCAGGGATTTCTCCTCCCACTTAAAGACTTATGCTCAGATGCTCTTCAATGTGTTTATTTTCTAGTCTCACTCCCTTGCCCAACCATTCTTCCCTCCCCCCCTCCCCAACTCTTGTTAAACAATGGGAAGGGAGATCCTTAATAAAGCTGCCACAGACTGTACTCTATCTGTTCATTCATTTATCTTATATTTATTCAGCCTCTACTAGGCACTAGGCAGGATACTGAAGATGCAGTTTTGAGTAAGGCAAACTCAGTTCTTGACCTCACAGAACTCACAGTTTAATGAACTTTAAAAGCTACTTTGCTCAAACAAGGAATGAATGCTGATTATAGCTGGGGGAGGGATGAGACCTTTGACCCCCAGATGCTCTGAGATAGAACTAGAGCAGGGAGTATGCTCCCTACACACCACTCTGCTGGGAATGTAGCCATGTTTGGAGACATCAGAACCTAAGAAATGACATCTGCATACAATGTGGCCTTCTGTGTCTGAAAATTGACAATTGTTGGATTGTGGGGGAGCCTGTCTGTCCAATCCCAGATTTTCACCAATCCAGATATGTACCAATCCAGTATATGCATATGGGAATTAGCACAGTTGAAAAGCCAACCATGCAGAAAAAAAATGGGATAACCAGGGTTATGTGAAGCTCCTAATAGAAGGTTTTCTAGAAAGAGTGATTTTAAGGGGAATACTAAGGTAAGAGGAACTTTTAAGAGCCAGATGCAGTGGTGTACTACTGTAATCCTAGTGACTCAGGAAGCTGAGGCAGGAGAATCAAAAGTTTGAGGCCACGGCTGGGGCTATATCTCAGTTGGTAGAGTGCTTGCCGTGCATGCACAAAGCCCTGGGTTCAATCCCTAGCACTCAAAAAAAAAAAAAAAGAAAAAAGTAAAAAAAGTTTGAGGCTAGCCTGGGCAATTTAGCAAGATCAAAAGGTTCAGGAATGTAGGTCAGTTCAATCCCTAGTAGCACATACACACATAGAGAAAGGGACCTTAGAGAAATGGCCAAATAGGGATTAAAGACAGGTAAGGCAAAGGGAAGCAAATTGGGCCCAGATAAGAAGTCATCTCCCCCAAGCCCATGGGTGAGTGACCAAGGAATCCCATGTTTGTGCCTGTCCTGTTTCCAGAACTGCCAGAAAGCTCTGCCTGGAAGTATTTAAACTTCCTGAGATGCTGCCAGTTCTACCTTTAACCCAGCAGGCATTCTTGAATGGGTCTAGGGTCCCCAAGCTTCCAGCAACCCCTTGTGCCAAGCAATACTTTGTACTGGTAGTAATTTATGCTTCTCAAACTATTTTTCAGTTGTACCATTTGATTCACTTGTCAACTCCTAAGGAAATTCAGGCTTTTTGAAATTAACTTGTCCAAATTGTCACCTTGCAAATAACAGACTAATAAATCTTTGTTTCTGTACACTTTGCCTCATGAGAAAAGGTAGATATTTTGAAAGAAAAGGGTAGGGGAATAATTATGAATGGTGAGAGTCTTGAATGCCAGATTAAGGAGGTTGATCAATATATAGAATAAATTGAAGCCATCTCCAGTCTCCTGGAGAAAAATGACTTCAGATGCTGTATATGAAATGAGCCGGGACAGGGAAATAACTGTTATAATGAATCAATTAATTTGGTACTGGGTATTGAACCTGGGGCACTCTACCACTAAGCTACAAACCCAGTCCTTTTTAGTTTTTATTTTAAGACAGGGTCTCGCTAAGTTGGTGAGGTTGGTCTCAAACTTGTGATCCTCCTACTTCAGCCTTCCAAGTAGCTAGACATACAGAGAAAATAACTTTCTTAAAAAATATTTGTTTTTTAGGTATAGATGGGTACAACACAATGCCTTTATTTTTATGTTTTGCTGAGGATTGAACCGGGGTCCCACCCGTGCTAGGGGAACGCTCTACCGCTGAGCCACAATCCCAGCCCCGAGAAAATAACTTTTAAAGGAGGAGGCTAAGGTTGTAGTTCAGTGGTAGAGTACTTGTCTAGTATGTGTGAATCCTTGGTTTGATTCCTTATACTATAAATAAGTAAAATAGGAATTCATTTTTATTGGAAAAGGCCTCATTTTAGAACTGTGTATCTCCCCCTATCAACCCAACCTGATTTCCATTTTAATTTAATCCAGGTATCACAGCATCTCTTATATCCCATGTCCACCAAGTTAGATAACTGTCAGGCCTTTAAATGGCTACCAGTTCCAGGCTCTAAGATGGTTACTAGGCCAGTTCTTTGAATAGTGCCCGGATAATGGTAGGGGAAGGGCTTGGAATGGGTCCAAGCTTTCAGAGGTTTTGAAAGGAGGGAAGAATTAGAACACTTTTAGGGAAAGGAGTGAAACCAGGGTTTCTCTTTTATTGTGAGATGGAGAAACAAGAGTATTCTCCTTACTCATAAGGAAAGAAAGGGTCTTGGGTCACACCACTGGATGCATTTTGAGGAAGATATTTTTCTCTTTCTAGAACGATTAAGGGGAAATTCTGAAGGATGCCTTCATTTCCTGTAATTTTCAGAAGTCTAGGGATTGAGTTTATGAATCCTTCCTTTCTTTCACAGTTCCATGTCCTATGCAGTGGCACTATCACTCCACGGCAGAGCCATGCCTGGGCTGTGGGAGATTCCCTGGGCTTGAGGAAGAATCACAGGCACACCACACACCACTGCTATATCATTTCAATCATTTGTCTCTTCAACCCTTTCTCCATCCCTCCACACCCAAACCCTTCTCCCTTTTAGAAGCAGATTTATCTTTTTTTCTTCTTTCTACTCCTTCCCAACTCTGCTACTTTTCCCAGTCACCTGAACACACGAGACTCACAATTTGAATCCTTCCACATTTATTGTAGAAAATGGGGAGTTGGTAGGGAGAGGGACACTAGGCCTGGTCCCTGGGGTTGGAAGAAATGGTACTTTCTCCTCACTGCTCAGCAGGCTGTGTTTTTTTGAGGTCCATGAAATTGCTCAAGAAGTTAATCAGATCAGTTCCAGCCTTCTTGACCAGGGGTGTCAGCTGTTCCTGTGTCTTTTCAAAGTAAGCCCTGGATAGGGGAGGGATTAGAGGTCAGTGTGAAGAAACCTAATGACTGGCAGGGAGGAGCCTTGTTGGTGGTGAGAAGGAGCAAAATGAACTAGGTATCTGGTCCCTCCTGCCATGGCAAAGCACCTATTAGGAGAATCAAGCCCGCCACTGGACAGAGCAATAGACTCTAGAGATTGAAATTCAGGGACCACTTCCTATTGCCTCTATCTGTCCAAAAGGTACACACGATCTATGGGCAATGGAAGAATTTTTCTCCCCAGTTTAAGCTTAATCCTTCTTAACCCCCACCCCTGAGTCAGTCTCCAGTAAGACCTTCCATCTTCTGTTCCTTCTCTCCACTGTCCCACCTCCAAACCCTTACCCCTGACACTTACTTGGCCTGGGCTTGAAGCTCTGGGCCCTTGGCCTTCTCCACCAGGTCCTTGCCATAGTCCGTCACAGTCTGGAGGTACTGAGAGAAAAGGCTCTGCAGAGTTGGCTCCTCAGCCTGTCTCCGAACCAAAGCCCCTAGAAACATAGGCACACTTTTCTCAACTGGGTCCCCAGCAATGAGTCCTGGTCTCCCACCATACCTCTGCCATTCTCCACCCCAGCTCTCAGCCACCTTTCCAAATAAATATATAGACAAATCTTTGGATTTTTTTTTTCTTTCTGGACTTCAGAGAGGAAAGCTCCGTGGTTGCCAGACTGAGGCATAGGAACACAGAAAATGGGTAGTGAGGACCACCATCTCCTGTTCTTCTTTGTCCCCCTCCCTCCATATCATACTCACCTTCAAGGCTACAGATGGTAAGGAGAAGCACAGTCATTGCAAGCAGCTTCATCGTGGTGACAGTAGAAAGGTGGCCTAGAATATAGTGCTGGTGGTGAGGAAGGATGATGAAGCCAAATGGGCTTCACCCCCTCCCCAGGGATCTCACATCCAGAAGCCCTCTCCACCCTGGTTCCCTTCCTTTCCACCATCAAAGCCCAGTCCTCTTCACATGCTGCCCACAGCTCTTGCTCTCTCACCATACCTACTCAGCGTCTCTGTCTTTGGTGTCTGTTGCTGGCCTGGCTGGAAAGGCAGGGACTATATACCTGTCCATTTCACCACCCCCTGTCAGGTGATAGAGATTCTGGGGAGATATTGGGGGAGGGACCATGTTGAAGTAAACAGATTGGAGAAATGGGGGAGGAGAGGACAAGAAACGAGGAACTCATGGAGATGAAATGAGAAGCAGAGGGTACAGGTGAAGGGCAAAAGTGTACACATCCATCTGTTTAAGATTGACTCTTTTGGGATCTGGGGCTAGTTATCTTTGGATTTGTATGCAGTGGGGAAGCAAGATTTCTAATCATTTCTCTGGAAAGCTCTGACATCAAACCCTTGATCCTTGATTTTTTATCTCTTTTCTGAGTAAATTTCATCTCCCCAACCCTACTTGTCTTCACTGCAACTTTGAAGATAAGTATTGGGGAAAAGAATAAAAGAAAAAAAAAAGCAGTTGAAATTAGGGGCAGTAGTGAAGGGAATGGGGGTTAGGAGAATGAGAGTCAGGGTCAGAGGGCAGGTGTGATTGACTCTGTCCTTTTTCAGTTAATGTATAATGAGACAGGGGGAGAAAACAACCCAGAGCCCAGAATGGCCCTCCTGGTTGCTGATCAATGAGCATACCCTTCCCCCAATAAAAACAAATTCAGAAAACAGCCTCTGCCCTTCCTCTCTCAGTTGGAGAGCTCTGGCAGGAAAAGACACAAGAGGCTCCTGCTAGGATAAGGGTTGAATATACCTGGTCATCTGACTGCCTTATCAGTTCAAGGCAGTGGTCAGCCAATATTGAATTAGCAGGGGCCATAGAATACCTATGGCCAAGGTCCTGGCCCTTGTCCCAGCCCTAGTTAAGGGGAGGGGGATTACATTCCTAGGTCCAAAGCATTTCAGTAGAATTAGCTAACTAGATACCAGAAGCATTTGTATCTTCCGCCCTATTGCCCTCAAAGTTTGCTCCCTAGGTATGTGGAACATTCCTGAAAGATGGGAGGGAGTGGTGGGAGCTAGTGAGGAAGGTAGGGAACAAAGGCTAAAAAATTTTATTCCGTTTTCAATTATTCCCCAGTAGAGCTCATAGTTCTTGAGTGTAGTCTATTGCTTGCCCCTGGCCCTAAGGCAGAGCACATTTGTGGTCTGGAAACTTATTCCTAGGTTTTATTTGTTCACCCTGCCTGAAAACTCAAAGAAAGAAGGATTAACAATAGAGGTACCTGTTTTTGTTGTTATTTTGGGGGACGTGTACCAGGGGCGCTTAACTACTGAGCCACATTCCCAGCCCTTTTTTGTGTTTTATTTAGATACAGGCCTCACTGAGTTGCTTAGGGCTTCACTAAGTTTCTGAGCTGGTTTTGAATTTGCGATCCTCCTGCCTCAGACTCCCGAGCCGCTGGGCTTAGATGGTATTTTAAGGAATAGTTCTGCCCAGAGCCTGCTCCTCTACCCCAAACGTTTTGTCACACACCCATTTCCTTTCTACCGAGAGGGGACACTCCTGAGAGGTGCAGACCTCTAGAAGATGAGGGGGTTTGTGTCTGGGGAAGAGCTGTGCTTATGTGTCATTTAGAGGCGGGCTGTGGAGGGCTGTGGATTCAATGGGGATGTGGGGCATGATATGAACTAGGTTCGAAAGAAGTCTTCAGGGACATTCCTTCATCATTCATCACTAAACACAAAATCTGAGTTGGGTGTGGTGGCGCACGTTTGTAATCACAGCTACTCCAGAGGCTAAGATTGGAGGATCACAAGTTCAGCTTCGACAACTAATCGAGTCCTATCTCAAAAAAAGTAAAAAAAAAAAAAAAGGTTGGGGATGTAGTTCAGTGGTAGAGCTCCCGGGGGTTCAATCCCCAGTACCAAAAATAAAACAGCCTCCAGGCTGTAGTTTCACTTTTTTCGTGGCCGGTACAAGGAGTTTCAGTGACCCAAGCGACAAGATACTCCCTCTAGTGGTTTGAACGTTCACAGGTTTATCTCGACCTTGGAGAGGCAGGGCAATCTAAGGCCTTCTGCAGAAGTCTAAGGAACCACCAATCAAATCCCGCTGGCCTCTGCCCCGCCAGGGTGAAGCTCTCCGGCTGCCATGCCTGCCACTCTTTTGCTTCCTTCTTTCTCATTGGCGACTAGGAGATTGAAGTGCCTTTTTTCCCACCCATTGGGCGGGACCGAATCTGGAGAGGGTTGGGTCTTAGGTAGTTTCCTTTGCCCGGTTCCAAGATGGCGCTCATGGCCACTTTGGAAATGCAACGTGAAGCCGAAGCTTTGCCATTAACCAAGATGGCTGCCCCCATCAAGATGACCGGGGTGTGCCGGGGGGAAAGGGACCGCAGGATGGTCTGAGATGGTAAGGGCTACTGTTCTATTGCGGGCCTGTCCTCAGGGCGTGGGAATGAAGATTAGAAAGACTAGGAATCCAGGTGAGGTCTGTGGTGGGGGTTAGGATTAGAAAATGGGAGCGAGGACAGGGGTGACAGGTGGGGGTGAGGGATCAAAGATGGGGTGGGAGTGTGCCTAGGGTTCTATCTCTCCATCGGTGCTCTCTCCCCCCACTCTTCCTGTTCCAGGACTAGCATTCGATCATGTGGAAGTTTCTGAGACTGGGGAGCCTGATGATGGGGGGTGGGGCCCGTGGGGGGTAGAGGAAGCCAGAATCCTTTCCCAGGCTAACCCGGGCCCCTCCCTGTCCTCTGGACTAAAATGGGTAATACTTTGGGCCTGGCACCGATGGGGAGTTTGCCCCGCCGGAGCCCCCGCCGAGAGGAACCTCTACCCAACCCTGGGAGCTTCGATGAGCTGCACCGGCTATGCAAAGGTGAGAACTCTGTCATTTGGATCTTAAGTTGAATGGGCGGAGGAAGGGAGGGTCTTGAAACCTGATGTCCGGTGATGGGAACAGAAAAGGGGAAATCACAGCTGCGGCATTCAGTTCAGGGAGAATCAGGTGTCCAAATGAAGTGGAGCATTTCGTTTGAGGAGTTGAAAGGAGGTCAATCCCTCCAGTGCTTCATATGGGATTGAAAGGGGAGACTATCTCTTTGGGTAGGGATTCCTTGTCTGTGCTTATTCCTTCCCTTCCCCCCCCACCCCCTTCAGATGTATTCCCAGCACAGATGGAGGGAGTGAAGCTCGTTGTCAACAAGGTTCTGAGCAGCCATTTCCAGGTGCTCCCACTTCTCTGTCCCATCCTTACCATTCCTTCGTGCCTATCCTTGGATCCTCCTTTCCTTTTTGCACTCCAGCCTTAGCTAGGCTATGTGGGACAAATGAGGGAGGATGTGGGGTTCTCTTTACCTCCCTTGCCTGCGGGACTTGGTGCTTTAAATCTGTTAACCCACTGCATATGTTGGGATATTTGGGATTCTTAAAAGGCCCCCTGAATGGGGAGAAGATGACGGGTGGGATGAGGTATTGAAATGAAACATGGATGCTCTCTTCCTCCATTGACTCCTCTTTCTGCAGGTGGCTCACACTGTGCACATGAGTGCCCTGGGCTTGCCTGGCTATCACCTCCATGCAGCCTATGCAGGGGATTGGCAGCTCAGCCCCACAGAGGTGAGGGCTCCACATACCTGGGTCCACTCTCTAAAAGCGCACCTGGGACTTAGGTCTGGAGGAGGAGGAAATGTGTGTGTTCAGGGAAGAATTGACAGTAACCAGATTCTGTCTCTTCTGAATGGCAAAGGGTGGGGAAACAATTCTATGAAACGATGCCAGAGTTTTTCTTTGTGTCTCCACCAGGGGGCGCTGAGTAATGTTAATGAAATCCCAGTGTTTGGGTTTAAGTTGAGTAATGCTACCCAGCTCAGCCTTACTGTCTACACTCCTCACCAGGTGTTCCCCACTGTGGTAGGGGATATGGACAGCAGTGGAAGTCTCAACGCCCAGGTCCTACTTCTGTTGGCAGAGCGGCTCCGAGCTAAGGCTGTCTTCCAGGTGACCCACAGTTCCTGCCTCCATCCATCGAGGCACTTCTCTTTCTCCTCTATGGGTATCCTGCCCTGGGGAAGCCAGGGGGAGGATCAGAGGCAATAGTGATTATAAAAAGATGGTTGGAGATTTTACTTCTTGCTCTCTCCACACAGACACAACAGGCCAAGTTCCTGACATGGCAGTTTGATGGCGAGTATCGAGGAGATGACTACACAGCCACTCTGACCCTAGGAAATCCTGACCTGATTGGGGAATCGGGTGAGGAGTTGGGACAGGGTTCTTTTGAACCTTAAACAGGGTTCTATTTGCAAATGTTGGACATGCCTCCTCATCTTCTGTACAGTTTGGGAGTTTGAAAAGGAATTTCTGGGGCAGGTTGTAGGAGGGAACTGGGGGTGAAGGAGTAGGCCTCACTATTGTCTCTATGACTGACTCCGTGTCTCCTCACTCCCCCACAGTGATCATGGTCGCTCACTTTCTGCAGAGCCTCACTCATCGACTGGTGCTAGGAGGAGAGCTAGTTTATCACCGGCGGCCGGGCGAAGAGGGGGCCATCTTGACTCTGGCTGGGAAGTACTCGGGTATGGGGTGAAGTGGAATGGCAATTCTGGACTTTGCTGGGGTCCCTGGAATGCATCCTACTACAGTAATTCTCCTTTCCCCTTGTATTTTGTTTTTTACAGCTGTACACTGGGTAGCTACATTGAATGTGGGATCTGGCGGGGCCCATGCAAGCTATTACCACAGGGCAAATGAACAGGTGAGCTACTGATCTCATGCCCTATGCTAGCAAGTCAGTTATATAAACTTTTGCCTCTGTAGACACCCCCCCCCCCCCAGGCTCTTGCTGGCCTAGTATTCTTCCTACCCACACAAGGTATACATTTTCATGGATGTCTTCATTCTGCTGATCCCCTGTCAGGGCCCCTCTGGTCTTCACCAAGACTGAATCCCCCTCTTATCCTTCCCCTTATTTTTCAGGTTCAGGTTGGAGTGGAGTTTGAGGCAAACACAAGGCTACAAGACACAACCTTCTCCTTTGGTTACCACCTGACTTTGCCCCAGGCCAACATGGTGTTTAGAGGTAAGAGTTATTGTGACAGCATTCAGAAGTGCTGAAGGATCAGGGGATGCAGAGGGAGGGAAGTTCTACCTTATTTTTGCCAACCCTTTTCTCCAAGTCTTGTTCAATAACCTAGTTGATATTTTCTTTCCCAATAGGCTTGGTGGATAGTAACTGGTGTGTAGGTGCTGTGCTGGAGAAGAAGATGCCCCCGCTGCCCGTCACCTTGGCCCTTGGAGCCTTCCTTAATCATTGGCGCAACAGATTCCATTGTGGCTTCAGCATCACTGTGGGCTGAGGTTGTCCCAGAGTCAGCCCCCACAGCTGGAACCTGAGTCAGGTGTCCTAGGGCCAGAGACAAGGCTCCTCTCCAGAGCCCACCTCGATGGGTGACCTCTAGGTCCTAGGAGCAGAGTGGGGAACAGGACCATACCCTTCTCAAAACTGGCGCTGCCACTGGGTCAGCTGATAAGGCAGTGGTTTGAGGCTCCCACTTCTGCCACCAGCCCCAGTATCATCTTCCCCACGCTCTTGTTGCTCTGGACTAAGGGAGAAGGATTAAGGAATATGTCTGGTTGAACTCCCCCCTTCATTTCCATCTTTGTTTTCCTCTGGATTAAAGCCCCTAGCTCCTTCCTCTCCAGAGCAGAAAAGACTGCATGGGATTAGCTTCCCCATCCTGTTTTCCCATCCCAGAGGCTGAGAAAGTAGGGCTGAAGGGCTAAATTTTGGGCATTGAAAAATGGGACCCACCCATTCCCAGAAGTTTTACCTCTTAGCCTGAGGCTTCCTCTTCTTCATCTTCTATGCATCCAAAGGACAACCTTATCCCCACGGTCACCCCTAAGTACCCCAATGATCGCATGAAGAGGCATTTATTGCTTTAGTCTTTCATTACAATCACTGAACTCCCTTTCTCCTCGTCCTAGCAATTTCCCCTTTCCAGTCCAGTGTGTCCCAAGTGGGCTGGGGAAGGAGGCCAGGCTGGGGCTCAGCTGCAGATCTCCTGGAGCAGTGGCATCATAGCAGATAGTCCCTGTATGCGCTGGATTTGGTACCAGTATGCGTTGTTAATACTCCGGAGTTCAACCAACAGGCCCAGCAACTTTGCATATAGAAACCTTTGAAGGAAGTAGTGGGGTTACCAGGGAAGAGGAAGGAAATAAGACAGCTAGAAGTCTTGTCCTGAGGCCCTGACCCACTGAATTGACCCTCAGTGAAGCTAAGTCTGAAATTTAGAGAAAATCATGCTCTGATATGAAAATCTGTCAAATGTTGAAAAGTCCCCAAAGGAGTGTCTGTCTGATACTATCTTCTCACAATGCCCAGTTTTTCCTGAACTCTGAGGGCCAAGTGTGAAAGAAGCCCCAGACCTTGCCAGAACTTCAACTGAGTAGAGTCTGAGGGTTTGGCCTTCTAGAGCAAGTTCTAGAAGATGGGTGGGTTGTTCTGTGGTACAAAGTATCCTCCTTCTGGCAAACTGACTTATTGAGGAATGAGTAAGAACAGAAGTTGCACAGAGCCTAGATAGATCCTGAATCAGGGACACAAAACTGTGAATGACCCTAACTTCAAGGGAAATGAAAAATTCAAGGAATTGGCCAAGTGGAGAGGCGAGAAAGGGCCAAGGAACAAAAGTGAGCAAGATTCTTAATGGTCCACTTTAGTCTGGAGAAGTTGTAGTGCTAAGGTGATAGATGTCATCAATCTCAGGAATGCTATTATAAGAGCCTGTGAGCTACTACTTTGCATCTCTACTGAATAAAAAAAAAATTTGGAAAAAGTGAGATTAAACATCAGTAAGAGCAATTTGAATGCTGGAACTGTGCAACTGGGATGGCCAGAGGAAAGGACCAGACCCCAAGAGATGTGGTTTGCCAAAGGAAAAGACAGGAAAAGCATTCATCCAGAGTTCAGTGTTTTCCATAACCTCTTCTTTCCCCAGTGCAGCCTCCAAGCTCCCAGGCTCCCACCTACCGATTTCGGGGCCTTGGTTCCTGTTCCTTGATGTAGCTGTCCAGAGTTAGTGCCATCTCCTCTTGCAACTGATCAATCTCTTCTCTCTGGGTAACTCCAGGCCGATCTGTAAGAGAGAGAGCTGGGAGGGACAAGGGGGAGGGGGGAGGCCTGCACAGTGTCCCAGGGTCTGAGGATGATAGAGACCCACTCCAAAGGTTTAAAGGCTAGATGGCCATGGACGGATGGATTCAAGGGACCCAGTTTGGGTAGAGATGGTGGGACCAAAGTTTCTGGGCTTTGGGAAATGCTCACCAGGAGAGAAGAGGGCCATAGCAGCCATGAGCACATACTCAGGCTCCTGGAGCTGCAGTCGTTTTAGTGTCCCATGGAAGCGAAATACCAACTCCAAAAATTCTTCCTGGAACCCTGCTGTAGGAGATATGAGGCTTAGAGCCTCTAGGTCACCTCACCTCATCCCATACCACAAGGACACATGCCCCTACTGCTCTAGCACCTTCTCACCATGGGCTGCATCTTCCATTGTGTAGTGAAGAGGTCCACACAGGAAGTTTTGTGTTTGGAGACAGAAAGTGGTATTGAGTGCAATGTGAGATATTTCCACAGCTGCTCCCTTGAGAAGGGAGATTTGGTCCTCCATGGGCAGGGATCTGTGGAGAAATGAAAAAAAGGGCATTTTAGACAAGTCTGAGCTTAGGAGAGGGAGAGGAACTTCCGGTCCCGAGTGACACACTTAACAACAAACCTGGTTTTGAGACCTGATGCTTGGAAAGACTAAGGGGTGTGGTAATTTGTTGAATGACTTTTTTATTTTGAGATGCTGAACCACTGAGCTACATCACCAGCCCTTTTTATTTTCTGTTTTGAAACAGGGTCTCATATAAGTTACTTAAAACCTAGCTAAATTGCTGAAGCTGGCCTCAAACTTGCCATCTTCCTGCTTCAAGCTCCCAAATTGTTGGGATTACAGGCATGCACCACCATGTGTGTTAGGACTCCCCCAACCCTAGTACTGGGGATTGAACCCAAGGGCTCTCTACCACTGAGCTACACCCCCAGCACTTTTTATTTTGAGACAGGGTCTACTGAGTTGCTGTGACAGGCCACGAATTTGCAATCCTTCATCAACCTCCTGAGTAGCTAGGATTACAAGCATGAGCCACCATGCCCATCTGATCAGCAACTTTTAGGGGTGGGGTGAGATGAAGATGGTATATAATTTATGAAGCCCTTGCTTCATGATAGAGAAGGGAAGATCACTCACCGGAAAAGGGGCAGATCTTTTGTGAACTTGATAATTTGCTGCATCATGAAAGTGTTGATGTCTGCGATGTGTGTGAGCAGAGGTAGCACAGGGGTCAGGGTAGGCAAACGATGATGATGGATGAACAGGTAGGCTGGAGGCTGTAGAGATCAGGATGTGAGCCAGAGTCCCTGGCTCCTAGGGCTTTTGTTGAGGCCTCACCAGCCTTATCTTGGAAAGGTTCTTTAGAGGAACTTGCCCAGACTGGGGTTCTGGAGAAGATCTATCCTCTGTTGGTACATGGTACACAGCCCTCTCCCTTAGGCCACCTCCTAGATACCCTTTTGGTCACTTTCAGCCCCGATCAGTGCTCACCCTGAACTGCACAAACTGGTCAAACATGGTGCCAACATGACGAGTGTGGGCCCCCAGAAGGGTCTGGACCAGCTTTTTCTGCTCCTGACTCAGTTGTGTAGGAGTCTGCTGTGCCCGCCGCTGTGCCTGTTTTGCTCGTCGTAATGCCAGGGCTTCTGCCGACAGTATCACTGTACCAGACGAGATGTAACAAAGCTATTTAGACCAGCAGAGAACATCTTTCAGCCAGTCCCTGATCTGGGATTCCTCAACCGCCCTACACAAGAAAGAACTGGGGAAGGAAGGAGAGTTCCTGAGGCTTCCTTGAACTTGATTGACTCCTAGAGACCTCAGGTGTGGGGAATTCCTGCCCCCTTTCACCAACCTCAGTTACCTGTAAGGCACATGGCAGAAAACAATGCACTGTGGGAAAGGAGAGAAGGATGGAGAGTAAAGTGGGAAAGGTATAAGATGGTTGGATTTGGGGGGAAACAATAAAGAGGGGCTTAATAAAGTGCTAAGGCAGCCCCTTGTGTTTGTATAATATGTTAGCTTTTCATTGCCATGACCAAAATACCTGACATAACTTAGAGGAGGAAACATTTCTTTTGACTCAATTTCAGTCTATGGTTGGCTGGTTCTGTTCTTTGGGGCGGAGGCAAGGCAGAACATCATGGCAGAAAAGCTGCTCAGCTCATGGCAGCAGGAAGCAGAGAGAGGGAGGAAGAAGATGAGGAAGAAGATAAGACAAACCCTTCCAGGGCATGTTCCCAGTAAGCTACTCCAATTAGGTCCCAACTCCTACAGTTTCTATCACGTCCCAATAGTCCATTCAAATTATTAGTTCCATCAGATGGATTAATCCACTGATGAGGTTATATCCCTCATGATCCAGTCATTTCCTAAAAGCCCTACCTCTGAATATTACTGCATTGGAGACCAAGACTTCAACACATAAGACTTTGGGGACATTCCAGATCCAAACCACGACACAGCATTATAATTTCAAAGGTTCTGAGGTTAGATTTCACTGGATGAAACAACACTGTGGTAGACAAAGTAGGTATTATTCATATTTTTCAGAAATGTAAATAGGCTTAGATTCCAGCAACAGGTCCAGGGTCATAAAACAAATGATGCAGACTGAATTCAAACTAAGATCTTTTGGTTTATAAATAGTTTTCTTTCCATCCTATTGAAAAGTACTGCAATCTTATGGAAAAAACAAGAGTTTAGTATCAGGCAGACTTGAATTTGAATACTGACTGTACAACTTTTTAGCTGGTTGATCTTGGGTAAGTTAACTTCTTTGAGTCCCAGTTACATCATCTATTGGGAGCATAGCATAGTTACCTGGCACAGAGAAAGCATTAATTAATTAAAAATTATAGAGCATCTACTAGGTGATAGGCATTATATTCAAGAGATAAAAGAAAAAAGCCGGCCATATGAATACCAAGGGAAGCACTTTTCAGGTAGAGGGAATGAGGAGTGCAAAAGTCCTGGGGAAGAGTGTGATTGGTGGGTTTAAGAAGAGCATTGAAGTCAATGTCATTGGACTGGATTGGGCAAGGGGGAAAGAGGAAATGAAGTCTGAAAGGTGGTATGCAGGAACCAGATCAAGAGATCTTGTACTTTAAAAGAGATGGGGAGCCATTGAAAGTTTTGAGTAGAATAGTGATATCATCTGTCGAATTTGAAAAAAAAATCTTACTGTGCTTGTTAATGCAAAATGTACTATTGGGAACAAAGACAAAACACAGAGACAGTCAATGGACAACTGGGAAGGTAGGAGACCAACTCACTGTCTTTCCTCATGCCAGCACCTAGACACTTCTGCAACCTGCAGGCCGGGCAGTGGCGCCTCAGGGTCTTGCTGATCTCACAGCTTCCAGCAAAGGGGCAGGTGAGACCCGTGCTTTTACTGACTGCTCGTCTGTGAAAGACAGACATTTTTGTTTTTTAGTTGTAGATGGACACATACCTTTATTTTATTTATTTTTATGTGGTGCTGAGGATTGAAACCAATGCCTCACACGTACTAAGCAAGCACTCTAGACCACTGAGCCATAACCCCAGCCCCAACAGAGACATTTTTAATTTTTATGGTACTAGGAATCAAACCCTCCTGGGGGGGGGGGAGGCCTTAACCACTGAGCCACATACCTAGCCCTTTTAAAAAAATATTTATTTTTTACTTGTAGTTGGACACAATACTTTTATTTTTATTTATTTTTATGTGGTGCTGAGGATCGAACCCAGGGCCTCACATGTGCTAGGCAAGCACTCTACCACTGAGCCACAACCCCAGCCCCATACCTAGCCCTTTTTATTTTTTATTTTGAGACAGGGTCTTGCTAAGTTGCCCAGGCTGGCCAGGAACTTGCCACCCTCCTATGTCAGCCTCTGTAGCTGGGACTACAGCTGTCTCCCACCTTCACTCAGCAAAGAACTTCAGGAGTGAATAGAGCACAAGTTCAAAGCACTTCAGGAGTGAATAAAGCACAACACACAGGATCATTGGGGCAAGCCTAGTCAATATAGTATTACCTTAGTGCTTTGCAGTGGGCACATAATAAGTACTCTTGACACACACATGCACACAGAAGGGAGGGGGACAAATGGACTGTGTGCATGGGACAAACATTTGGTCCTCTCTCTTTTATCATGCCGTCAGTTTATACAGTGGTGTGGTTGGCAAGATGTAGAGTGCTAGCCACAGAGTAGTGAGACTTAAATACAGGAGGAATGTAGCTGGACAAGGCTGGGCATGTGCCAGGGTTTAAAGGCTGACTGATAGGAGCTGGGAACAGGGTTGTTTCTATGGAGGAGGAGGGTCTTACCTGAAGAAACCTTTGCAGCCCTCGCACGTCAGAGCATGGAAATGATAGCCTGTGGCTCGGTCCCCACACACCACACAGTTCCTTGGCTCATCTTCCCCACTAGCTATGATTCCAGGTGTTGATGTGGCTGTCATGGACCCCTGAATGTAAGAAGATTTAGCAGACAGCTCTGAGCCACTTGTGACTTTCTCTTCTTTCTGTAGAGCCTCTTTCCAAACCTGCTCCCCAGCACTATTTATACTAAAAGCAAGACAGTTGCTTAAGTCTCTGGCCCTGAACAAAAAGCTTTTTTTTTTTTTTGGTGGTGGTGGTGGGGGGATACTGGGAATTGAACCCAGGAACCAGGAGTATTTTACTATTGAGCTACATCCCCAGGCAGAATTTTGCTAGCTGAGGCTGATTTCAAACTTAAAATCTTCCTATCTCATCCTCCCAAGCTGCTGGGATTACAGGTGTGCACCACCACACCTGGACCCCAAAAGATTTCTTACCTGCTTCTCTTAGGTAACACACCACAGGCCACAGAATTTGGTGCAGGATGCGTCTTGCCAAATTCCCACAGTGACTCTGCTTTCCTTGTGATCTCAGGAGTTAGCAATTATGGTATTTTTCACTACCTGGAAAACAAGGGATGTCTATGTATGTGGCCTCTGGGTGCTCTCAGAGCCCTAGGTAGGTAGGGCACATACTCTGGACCTAGGGCAAAGGCCTGTGTAGAAAGTTTACCAGCATGCCCAAGGTGCTGGTTGGTGGCACATGGGGAGGGTTCCTGGTGGGCGGGACCTCACGACTCATTAGAAGCTGCTTCTTATCAGGCTCACCAAGTTTTTTTTTCTACTTTTGAGCTTCAGGGTAGATCTGCAGCCTCCTCTATACATGGATCCTGGACAAGCTGTGAGGGAAAGAAAGGGAGAGACAGAGCAAACTTTTCACATGCACTATGTCAGTAGTAAAATTAACTATTTTACTAACAATGATATCTTACAATTATACCAGACTCAGAAAAGTTCTTTTAAAAAAGACTTTAAAATTAGGCTTCAGAAAGAAATAAAATGGAAGGATGTAATAAAAAAAATTTAAGAGCCAGGCAGAAGGGCTGGGTTTGTGGCTCAGTGGGAGAGTGTTTGCCAAGCACATACGAGGCACTGGGTTTGATCTCCAGAGCCATATTAAAAAAATAAAATAAAGATATTGTGTTCATCTACAACTGGAAAAAAAAAGAGTCAGGCTTGTAATCTCCAGAGACTTGGGACGACAAGGTAGAAGGATCACAAATTCAAGTCCAGTCTCAGCAATTTAGGACCTGTCTCAAAATTAAAGACAAAAGGGCTGTAACTGTAGCTCATTTGTCTACAATTGTAGAGATTTGTCTAGCTTCCTTGGGTTCAATTCCCAGCTTATATTAAAAGAAAAAGAAAAAAAAAAAAAAGGCTGGGAATGTAGTTTAGTGGTTAAGTGCCTCTAGGTTCAATCCCCGGTAAGTGGGGTGGGAGGAATTGGTCTAACTAAGAGCCTAGAAGAGGGTCCCATTTTCTTACTATGAATGGCTGAGAATTAATTCAGAGTGAATTCTAGTAAATCAGAGGTAGCTGGGGTTGATTTGTGAACTCCTGTGCCAGAGCTGACTTCAGGTGTGACCTATGTAGATTGCACTAGGCCCTGCATTCAGAGGAGTTCATTGCTTGGGTCAATGCTCTGCTCTGCAGTCCTGAAATAAGATTTTTTTTTTTTTTAAATAAGGGTTTTCATTTTTCAGTGGGTCTCCAAAACTATGTACACAGCATGTCTGGAGTTAAGATGAAGGACTTCTGATTAATGCGTTTAAGAATCAGAAGTAGGGGGCTTGGGTTTGTGGCTCAGGGTTAGAATGCTTGCCTAGGATGTATGAGGCACTGGGCTCAATCCTCAGCACCACATCAAACATAAATAAATAAAAATAAAGTCATTGTGTCTATCTACAACTAAAAGAAACAACAACAAAAAAAAAAATTAAGCAGGGTGCAGTGGTGCATGCCTGTAATCCCAGTGGCTGGGGAGGCTGAGGCAGGAGGATCACAAGTTCAAAGCCAGCCTCAGCAATTTAGCAAGGCTCTAAGCAACTCAGTGAGACCCTGTCTCTAAAAAAAAAAAAATACAAAAAAGGGCTGGAGATGTTGCTCAGTGGTTGAGTACCCCTAAGTTCAATCCCTGATACCAAAATAAATAAATAAATTTTAAAAAGAGATTCTTCTCATTGAGGATTCCTAGGTATTAATTGGTTCTGCCCTGCATAAACTGTTCCCACAGAATAAAAGAGAATTTTTTCCTTCTTCTTCCTTTTTCTCTCATGTCTTCAGTTTCTTAAGAGCTAACCTATAATTGTTTCTTTAAAGATGGGTTAAAAACCCAAGTGCAGCTTAGAGTCATAAACACAAACACACACACACACACACACACACACACACACAATAGTAAGTTGAAAAAAGAACCTCATTTAGGTTCCCAGAATGAGTTGGTAGAATCCTTAACCTCAAGTGGTACAATATTCAACTATGCATAACTTGGTATTTTAAAATAAGCTGAGTTTAGAGAGGTGTTTGGATCTGGTCTTTGGGAGATGGTGAGTATATCTATGTGTATATATATTTGTTGTTGTCTTTGCTCAAATGTGACTGAGATTTCATACTAATTTGTTCACTCAACAAATATTGATTGAGAATCTACTATGTGTTTAGATACTTGGGACAAAATGATGAATAAGATGCTTTCCTGACCTCATGGCATTGAAATGCTGGTAGGAAGACAGACCTTTAATGAAACATAAAGAAATATATTCAGATGAACAGTGGTGCTATGTATAGAGCATTAGGGACCATATGTATCAGACTAAACAGTTTGAGTCCATCAGGGAGCTTTGAAAGGGTAAGCTGGGAAATGACATGGCCAGATCTGTGTTCTGTGTAGTTTACTCTGTTGACTCTTTGGAAGATGGATTTGAGGAGGCAGAACTGGAGGCAAAGTAACCAGTTACTATTGCCCAGGGCTGGAGTTGTAGCTCAGTGATAGAGTGCTCACCTAGCAAGTGGGAGGCGCTGGGTTTGATCCTCAGCACCCCATAAAAATAAATAAATAAATAAATAGAAAAACAAACAAATGAAAGAAAACCCATAATGGAGGTGAGAGATCAGGTGGTTTAGGACAGTGGCAGAGAGAGAACAGAGTTTTGAGATATATAGGTGAAGTAATTTGGAATTTTGTGACTACTAGATGTCTGGGTTGAGAAAGAGGAAGAGTTAAAGATTGCTCCAGGTTTCTAGCTTGGTTGATTAAGCAGCCGGTGGGAAAGAGACAACGAAAGGAAAAGCATCTCCCATACTTAGGTCCCAATCCACTTCCACATCAACATTTTTTTTCTAGTAATAAGTTGTCAAGTCCCCATTCTCTGATTAGGCATCATAAGGAATAACAAAAGACGGCATCCGTATTACAAAGAAATTTATAGTCTAACTATGGAGACTAAGTTAATTAAACTACTAAATCTTAAAAGGAAATAAGCAGGGCTGGGGTTGTGGCTCAGTGGTAGAGCGCTTGCGTAGCACGTGTGAGGCACTGGGTTTGACCCCTAGCACCACATAAAAAATACTAAATAAAGGTATTGTGTCCATCTACAACTAAAAAATATGTTTTTTAAAAAAGGAAATAATCACATTCTAAATTGTGCAGTAATGAATATGCATAATATCATAGGTAGCAAGTGCTTTATTCATTTATTCTTTTGTGTGTGTGTGTGTGTGTGTGTGTGTGTGTGTGTGTAGTTGGTTCAGGGGACTGAACCCAAGAGCACTCTACCACTGAACTACATTGCCAGTGCCTCCCCGCCCCTTTCGCTTTTTTTTTTTTTTTTTTTAATTTTGCAACAGGGTCTCACTAGGTTGCCCAGACTAGACTTGAGCTTGCAATCCTCCTGCCTTAGTCTCTGGAGCCGCTGAGATCATGGGTATGTGCCGCCATGCCCCACCACACCCAGCTTCATTTATTCTTATTGACTGCCTAATGTGAGCAGCGTACTATGTAAGAATCTTACCTCCGTTAACCCTTTAAGATAGATAATATTACCATTTTACAGATGAGGAAACTGAGGCTCAGAGACTTTAGTATTTTTTTCAACAACTCAGATACTTTAAGTAATTTGTACAAGGGAACAATATATCCAACAGTTTATTAGATGACTTCACTTGAATGTCACCGAGGCATCTCAAATTCACTAGGTCTAAAATGTCACTATGTCCAATTCCCCACAAACTAACTTCTCTGTATAATCTAACTTGGTGACTATCCCAACTTGAGAAAGTGGAAAAAATATGGACCTTGGAGTCATACAGACTTAGGTTCAAATTGTGACTCTGGCCCTTGATACTTGAATTCATTTTCTTCCTAAATTATTTGTCATGACTAACCCAGCTCCATGGGGCCTGGGATTCATATATCATCATGCTGGGCCAACTGGTACACTTCCTCTCCTAGGTCAATATTTAATGCTTAGGGAGAGGCCAGGTGGAGACAGATGTTCTGGCTCAGAGCTGTCCCTTGACTGGAGGTCTGGGGATTATTGTGAGCTTTGTTCATGGAGAAGTTCACCTAACAGTTCTTTGAGATAAAGTTGCCTTGGGGACAGACCTCCCTGAGCTTGGGAGACAGAAATGTCTCCCAACTTTAGAGTCTCTTCTGTGGATCAGACTGAGACTGGTATCTGCTGCAGAAGGCACCTGGCATCCAAATAGACTTCAGGGTTAACTGATGCCCCCATCCTCTTCCAACACATCTATCCTGAGCCAGAGTCTGAAAAATACCTGTGTTGGCCATAGCCTGGTGGATTGAGCTCTCTGAATTTTAGATTTTTGTTTTTATTTTTTAATCTGGAAGAAAGAGTTAATAACACCCATTATCTGGGTTCATTGTGAAGGCTAAATAAAGTAATATATGTAAAATTCCTCAAACAGTGCTTGGAACATGGAAGAAAATAGATACATATTCATTTTTTCCCTTCTTCCTTTCCTTCCCCACCCTTTCCCAGATGCCAAGCCAGAAGATGTGGGGGTGGGGGTCACCTAGCCTCATTTCTCTCCCTCATGCCCATGACCTGTTATTTCTGTCTCTTGACTTCTAACCACCCACTATCTCTAAGCTGAGTTCAAGGCCTCATCATTTTTCACTCATCACTGCAGTAGCCTATTAAATTATTCTCCCTATTCCCAGCCTCATCTCCTTCCAACCCATCCTCCATGCTGTTGCTATTTCTAAAATGCAAATTTGATCATGTCTCTCCCCTGCTTAAAATTCTTCATTTGCTTTCCATCACCTTCAGGGAAAAAAAAAAAAATCCAATCTCTTTAGCATGTCACACAAAGTCCTTTGTGATCTGGCCCCTATTTATCACTCTGTCCTCATCTATTCTAACCTCACTTCCCTCCGCTGACCTAGCACAAAGCACTCTGGCTCTAGATGTGCTTAAACATTTGGAGTTCCCTGAACAGGCTGTGCTCACTCACCTCTGAGCAGCTTTCCTTGTTGTTCTGTCT